AATTTTTGTCTCACTCTTTTGGATGTCAGGATGTCCACTAGTTCTCGGAAATTAATGTCATTACCTACCATATCTTAAGGGCTTAAGCCAACCTTACGTTTATTTTCCCTCTTGTAATTGATATTCTGTCTTGAAACCTTGTTGGTGAAAGTAAAACCTTTATGTTGCTGCAAATTGTTCGGTAATTTTACGTACTTCTATTCAACAAAGACAATTGGAGAATCAAATATATGAAGTGTTTCTGAAGTGTTTCGGGCTAACATCATGTGGCATCCAAAATGCTATGCAAACCATATTGTTTATCAGGATGGTGCGTCTTTCCACATTTTCCAGTTGTGACACGTCGAAGACTAAAATACGCAGGGAACAAATGTTGGATTTTGCCCCGGGCGCTGTGGTTCCCCAAATTCTGGGCCCGACAAGTTTTGACAATGTCAAATTTAGCAACTCAGCCTGTGCGCTACCTTGAATCCCATTCTTACGAAAATGTTTAAACCTTTGTAGCCAACCTCTTTTCAGAGATACAATTGTAAACACAATAGACTTTGAATCTTCATCATTTTTGTGTTATCCCAAAACATCAATATCTATAACGTTTAACATACCTCTTCTCAGAAAAAACCTGTTTTCTTAGTGGCATACTATCCATAACTATTATCTATCTTCAAATTTGCCCATAAAGTATGGATTGACGTCAATGTATTTCAGTGCATCATTGAAAAACTAGTCTCACTTACCCTTGATACCCATTTCCTCATCACAGATTTGTGGGGTGAAGATACTTTTCTCCGAAAATAGGGATACGCTTTCAGAGAACAGAAATCCACACCTAAGTCAAACTTGTTTAAAGAATAACGAAGAATAACGTACGTCGTTTATGGACAGCCCTGCAGGATTCATTGTGTCAGTTACCACCAGCACTACTTCAGACATTGGACCAGTCCATGCCACGTCGTGTTGCGGCACATCTGCGTGCTCGCGGGGGCCGTACACAATATTAGGCAGGTGTTCCAGTTTTTTGTTCTTCACTGTACTTTTCTCTATACTACGTGTATTCTCTATACTGTATTACGTGTATTACGTATGTACGTACATATAGAACGTAAAAAATAATATTTGTGTAAATTTGAAAAAATCCAAAGAATAAATGAAAATGTGTTAACGTCATGAAATTCAGTAAATTAAGCCATAAAAAACGTATAAAGAAAAATATTGGACCCGTTTTCAAAAAAACTGGTGGTCTAGAATCTCTGAAAATGTGCAATTTTGAGCTCACAGAGGTCTTGAGTTTACGAAAAACCTTGTAAGTCCCTTTTTAGAGCACTGACAACTGCAATATGAATGCGATGCAAATATTACAAATAGTGGTATCGACTATACAATATGCTAGAGAAAGAAATTTATTACATTTTGGAACGAGATTTATCCAATTTTTTTCTATATCAGGGCCCCTCAATTTAAGTTTCTCCGTAGAAAAATAGTCTTCTTTGCCGCAGAATTACATAGCTTTCTCTATACTATGCATATTACTCCATAACATATGTGCGCGTTGTTTCGCGTAGATTATCGCGCACGTTGTTTCTGATTGTCGCTTTATTTCCGCTACGTGCGTCCGCTACGTCACAACCCAGTGGTTGGACAGGTGTTGGACGTCCCTGTCGCGGACGAATGGAGCGTCTTCTATAACAGCAAGGTCGACCCGCAGGGAACAGGATCACACCGCTATCGTGAATGATGCAGCGTTCGCAGTGGTATACTCTAAGCGTTTGCGTGAGATATGTGAGGAAAAGGCTAGAAAATATGAGTACCTTCGAGCGATGCTCCTAGCCCAGTGCTACTGGGTGGTGGAGTTTCACCGTGTGGTGGTGGGGGCTTTTGGTGAGTGGTGTGGTGACACTGACGCCACCCTAAAGAACTTAGTCTCCGACGACAGGCTTAACTAGTGGTTCTACAGAATGGCACAGACATTCCCGTATCTTCGTCTTCTATTTTCTTTGGTCTCGCCTTGCTGTTTGGACTTGCCGCATACTCTTGCCAGCTACCCTCTATCGCGGTGCAAAGTACACTTTTTTTTTTGAAATTGTCTTAATTTTTCGTTTTCTCGATAAAAGAACGGACATATTTTCAAGAATATAATTTAATATATTTAATAAAATATATTTAATAATATTTTCAAGAAAGGTAAAACTTCACCTCAAAACGTGTATTTCCGTTGAAATCTCCAAATCTATTTTCCGCAGCTTTACATATCTTTCCCTGTACTACGTATATTACTCCACATACTATATTTTTCCGTGTATATACTTATGTATACGGCAAAGTTAGAAATTACATTATTTCGGGAAGCGCTGCGTGTTTCGCCCACATTGACCCAGTAGGCCTGTTGCCTTTTGAGTACCAGGCACGCCCCTCCACCCGG